CTGCACCCACACTCCACCCCAGGGGAGAAAGGTCTCCTCCGCAGAGCCTGAAGTGGGGGTGGTTTGCGCCCACACTTCACCCCGGGGGAGAAAGGTCTCCTCCACAGCGCCTGGAGTGGGGGTGATCTGCACCCACACTCCACCCCAGGGGAGAAAGGTCTCCTCCGTAGAGCCTGAAGTGGGGGTGGTTTGCGCCCACACTTCACCCCGGGGGAGAAAGGTCTCCTCCACAGTGCCTGGAGTGGGTGGGGGTGATCTGCACCCACACTCCAGCCTGGGGGAGAACTGCAGCATCTGGCGACACTGGTGGCTGTCACACCGAAGGGAGGGGCAATACTCCTGACACTCAGTATACAGAGGCCAGGGATGCTGCAAACATTCATTCAAAGGCCAGACCCCACCAAGAATAATCCAACCGGAAATGCCCTCACTGCTGAAGCTGAGAAATGCAGCCAATCCAAGTAAAGCATTTCAGTTGTCTTCTGATGTAGCCAAACCAGGGTGAGCTGCCATCACAATGCTTCAGCCTTGGCGTGGCCCCACAGGTGCGGGCATCGGGAGAGAACTGCAGTCCACAGGGGATTATTTGAGACTTGCAAGTTTACAAAGCAAGTTGGCTTTTCAGTCATCCCTACAAATTTTGTTTTAAAGCATCAATTACAATACTCATCATGTAGCGCCACATTCTCCCACATCTTCCCTGTTAATTCTGATTTCCATGAATCCTGTCCCAGCTCTTCCTGCCTTCCTTCTCGCCAGGTCTGCTCTCTTGTGCATAAGCACACCATGACTCGGAGCTGAGGTGGCCCTGTTAAGTCATCTGACGGTGTAAATGGTTATCACACAGAGCTCTTAACTGCACAGTCAGAAGTTAGAGGTTCCCAGGGGTGGAGTGTGCGTGCAAACAACCCCCACTCCAGGAACAGTGGAGGGAGTGCCTCTCGGTTATTGTTCACCTTGCAGATTTGTCTATTGTTTGGCTAAGTTTAGTCAGGGGGTTGAGTTTTGGTCTGGGCTTGAAGGACAGGACTAAGGGTCAGAGGTTTCCTTGGTCTCTGTAGAACTTTCTTCATGGGTTTGTTTGGTTCCATATACTCACCCATTCTCCGTACCCAGGATCTTCCACCCTGACTGCCTATGGAGGGTTGGGTGGTGGGCACCAGGCAACATCTAGTTCTCCTGGCCTCAGTGCCGTGGAAATGGAGGAGGGCGAGGCCCAGCAATCCTTCAGACTGACCGTTTCAGGAGGACCCCTCTGGCTTTCAGTGGCTGACCTTCCAGAAGCAGCTCATAGGGATTTCTTCCAAGACAGTTCTGATGGGCTTGAACATCTAACCTTGCAATCAGGAGCTCAGTGTGATAACCATTTACACCGCCAAGTGGCTTAACAGGGCCACATCAGCTTGAGTCATGGTGAGCTTATGCACAAGAGAACAGATCTGGCTTGGCTCCGTGTCACCCCCACAATGAGGGCTGTGTGTGAGCCCATGGTGGCAGCCGCTGTATCAATCCCAACATAGTTCCTAGTTAGTAATTAAAGCTAATTGAGGAAATGCTAGATAATCTCATTCACCGCGTACACGGGACTGTACCGCTTGCAGCCAGGCCGGTGTGAAAAGTGCAGGGGACACTAACAGTCTGCAGGCATCAGGGGATTACATGGAGCTGTGGGGTGAACCACGCCCCCTTCCTCCGTGTCCTGTAACATGGCTGCAGTGAGAACTAGGGATGGGACAGGTGTCCTGCTCTCTGGTTGCTGGACACCAGGACGTGCTACGAGGATCCGGCACGCAGTGACTGCAACTTCAGCCTTACGCCCAGCTTGGACTGTAAGACAGAGCTGAACCGGGCAGGATTTCACTCTCCCGTGCACGGGGTCCCTATGAGTTCAAACTGACTCCACGGCACCTAATACAGATCCGGATCCTGCATTCTTGCTAGCTGTGTGATCCTGGACGAGCGTAACATCTCCTCCTTGAATTGAGGGAAAGAGAACTGGCCTCCAGGGGCCACTGAAAAGACCCATCCAAAAACTAGGCCATCCATAAATTAGACCACCTGGTCCCCATTAATTCCACCTTCAGCCAGGGGCTCCTGCTTTAGGGCCATTTCCAGAGAGGTGTCCAGGAGGTCTGGGAGCTAGGGTCAGGAACCCTCGGACAGGCCACAGTGTCCACTAGAGCTGGGCTAAGCAGGACAGCTGGACCTGGGGGCAGCTCATGACAGACACCCTGCCCCTCCAGGACCCCTCTGAGCTCAGGGCCCTCCGGACAAGCCCCAGCGCCTGCCCACCTCTCGACAAACCCCAGCGCCTGCCCACCTCTCGGCAAGCCCCAGTGCCTGCCCACCTCTCGACAAGCCCCAGCACCTACCCACCTCTCGACAAGCCCCAGCGCCTGCCCACCTCTCGGCGTCAGCAGGCCCCTTGTCAGGAGCCTGCAGATTGCTCTCTTCCTTTAAGCTCACGCATCAAAGTTCCTCCTCGAGCCTCACGCAGCTGCGGGTCTGCTAATGCGCGCGGGCATTGTGCACCACTGGTGTCCCCCGAGGATTCACGGCCCACCTGCATCTTTTTAGCTGCATTTAATAATTCCGCCCGGGATGAATTTGCATGATTAACATAAAGCATCATGATTTTATTTTCTCTCGGGATTTAAGGACTGAAACAACCACCTTTGTTTTCCTTCTTGGTGGTTGCGATCAAAACACAAAACTTGATTCTCCAATGAATCATTTCTATAAAGGAGGAAAAAGTCTATTCAAACCACACTGTCTCCTGAGTCAGGGAAGGGTCGGGGGTGCTGCCTTTGAGATGTGGGGAGGCGCTGGTTCTTTGCAAGGCCAGGGTTAACCCTTTAGAAACAGGGCATTCTACAGACAACCTGAGCTGTGGTGGAAGAGGCCTTAGGGAGTCGCTCAGTTATAAAGGCTGCACAACTCTGGTGGTTCGAATCCACAGGCAGCTCCAAAGAAGAAAGATGGGCAGTCTCCTCCCGGGCCACTTACAGCCCCAGAAGGCCTGCTGGAAGGTCAGCTCAGGGTCAGTGCCAACTTGATGGCATATGTAGGAGTTTTAGCCTGGTTACAGGATGCCCATCCTGGATGATGAAATCGGGTTCCTTACTGGGCCTCATGTTGGGGTGCCCCACACTTACTTCCTTAGAGTCTAGAATCTAAAAGAGCCTTTAAGTGCAAAAATATTCCAGCACTTTCTCCTTGCATCCCAACAATGGAATCATCACATAGTCCTTAAAACAAACAAGCAAAAAGAAAAAAACAACACAGAAGCCCAGACCAGATCCTATTTGGTAGACCATCTGCCCCTCTGTGGCGATGCCTTTGCAAGCCCTGTTATTAGCAGAGAAGGAGCACCATGTCCTGGGGCGTCTTAATGAACCCGGGAGGGCTTTATCAACTAGGGAACATGTTTACGATCCAAAGAACAAGGCACATCCCACGTGCAGAGAGCCAGACAGGCTTACCATGGAGCTGCACCCCGCGGGGCCTGCCTGGGTGGCCCTGTCTGAGTCCCAGGCCTGTTTAACACGCCTGGGTCGCCTGAGGACCCACGCAGGCTCTGAGGCCAGTTCCTGTGGCCCAGGGTGTGTGTGAACGGCGCTGACACCTCTGTCCCCGTTTGTTTGCAGGAACCATGGTCAGCAAGGACACCGGCAAATGTGTACTCACCGCTGCCGAGACTGAGGTGGAACCGGCCGCTTCGCTGGCCCTGGAGATGAAATATGCCCTGGACCCCAACCGGCAGATCAAGAAGCGGAACAAGGCGCTGCAGGTGCGCTTCAAGGATATCTGCGAGGCCCAGAACGAGCAGAGGGACACACAGCTGCCCGCCGGTCAGCCAGCTGAACGCCGGGAGCCCAAGGCCACCGTGCACAGGGCCGCCTACCGCAAGTACATGACGGTGCCTGCTCGCAGGTCCATCCCAAACGTCACCCGGAGCACGGGCGTGCAGACCTCGCCGGACATCAAGAAGTGCTACCAGACCTTCCCCCTGGACCGCAAGAAGGGGCCTGGGAAGGGCCTGCCAGCCGCTGACCCCTTTAAAAGTCATGACAATGGCTTCTTTGGCGATGCCGGGGACAAGGGTGTGGAGAAGGCACCTGGGGAGCCAGGGCCATGGGGGGCAGTGCGTGTGCAGACCACTGCATTGGTGTCCCACTCGAGCGAGCACATGGACGAGGAGGACCTGCCCGGTGGCCTCAACTGCACGGAGCCCTGGCAGGACCCTGACGCTCACAGCTGTCCCGAATCCCTGCTGCAAAATGCCACCCGGCCCCCTTCAGAGGACCCTGAGGCCCCGCTGCCCGGCAGGGCCAAGTCCAGCCCAGGGACGCCAGAGGCCGAGGGGCCTGCGCCCGCAAGGGTATTTAAGACTGAGGTGGCCGCAGTGTATGCACCTGCCCCCAGCGCCCCCGAGCCCACCTTGTCCAGTTCTGCAGCCGCCAGCGAGTGGTCCCTGTGCCCAGCAGACGAGGACGCCAGGCAGAGCCTGCACCTCAATGGGCTGCGTGGCTCCCCGGGCGCTGCGCTGGCCTGCCTGCCTCCCCCACAGTGCCCATCCCCCGAATGCAGTGAGCAGACTCAGACCCCCACCGGGGAGGCTGCCCAGCCTTGCCAGACGCGTGCCGAATGCCACCAAATCGTGCCTCACACGGAAGTGGTGGACCTGAAGGCACAGCTCCGGATGATGGAGAATTTGATCAGCTCCAGCCAGGAGACCATCAAAGTGCTCCTGGGAGTCATTCAGGAGCTGGAGCGAGGAGAGGCTCACCGGGAAGGGTACGTACGCTCCCCTCTGTCCTACAGAACCCAGGGCGGTCACCTCGGTCCTACTGAGCCCAGGGCGGTCACCTCGGTCCTACAGAGCCCAGGGCGGTCACCTCGGTCCTACAGAGCCCAGGGCGGTCACCTCGGTCCTACAGAGCCCAGGACGGTCACCTCGGTCCTACAGAGCCCAGGGTGGTTGCCAGGTCGCAGCCGGCGAAGCCTAGACCACAGCTAGTAACTCACGTCGGCTCTTCAGAGGCCGGACTGGCAGGCAGCAAGGTGCCCATACATTTGACTCTGCTCAACCTGACCGCTTCCTTGCCCCCACCCCACCCCACCTCCGACGCACTTGGTTGGTATTCTCCTGCCTGGCCTTGAACTCCAAACAATGAATTGGTGGATGTTGCTGCCATTATTATTATTATTATTATTATTATTATTATTTATTATCATCTAGGATTAAAGGCTTATGACGTTGATGATAAACACTAAGCAAATCCATCCAGAATTGCTGAATAAAAAGCCACTCATAGGCATCTTAATATGGAGGTGGAAAGAGAGAATAACAGATAGTTTTGAAAAGGTCCATGCTGAACAATGCTGGTCTGCAGGGTGGGGCGTCTAGGGGGGTAGCTAAGTGATGCCGGTCTGTGGAGTGGGGTGTCTAGGGGGGTAGCTAAGTGATGCCGGTCTGTGGGGTGGGGTGTCTACGGGGGTAGCTAAGTGATGCCGGTCTGCGGGGTGGGATGTCTAGGGGGGTAGGTAAGTGATGCCGGTCTGCGGGGTGGGGCGTCTAGGGCAGTAACTGTATAGTCTAAAGGGTTTTTGCTTTCTGCTTGGAACTCAAACAGCCCACACCCAACCCCAGAAGAGAGCGTCCTGCCTGAGACTGGGGGGTGCCACCCACCCTGGCTTCCCTGGGCTGATGTGCTTTGGAGAACAGCACCCCAGCACAGCCAGAACTGTCCATGTAGTATTTTGGGATGCTGTTGTTATGTGCCGTCGAGTCACTTTTGACTCATAGAGACCCTGTGTACAACAGCTCTGAACGCTGCTCTATCCTGAGCCAACCTCATTGTCTCTGACCCACCCCCCATTACCCTAGTCACTGAGTAAATTCATCTCGTCCAAGGTCTTCCTCTCTTGGGCTGTCCCTCCACTCTCCCAAGCATGATATCTCCAAAGACTAGTCTCTCCTGGCAACATGCTGAAAGTATGTCAGATGGATCTTCAGAATCCTTGCCTCCAAGGAGCAGCCTGGTTTCACCCTCTCCAGGACAAAACTGTTTGTTTTCCTAGCAGTCCATTGTATATTCAGCACTCTTGTCCAGCCCCACAGCTCAAAGGTATCAGTTCTCCTCCTATCATCCCTACTCATTGTCTAGCTTTCTGATGCACAGCAAGTAATTGCAAAGACTATGGCCTGTATCAGGGGCGTCTTAAGTCTCCAGACTGACATAGTTGCTTCAGCATTCTGGAGAGGTGCCTAACAGCAGATTTTTTTTCCCAGTGCAATTTGTCTTTTGATTTCCTGGCTGCTGGTACCAAGAGTTTATTGTGGAAGCAAGCAAACTAAAGCTGTGAACAATCTCAGTCTCTTCACCATCATGCTGCTGATTAATCAGCCCAGGGGTGAGAATCTTTGTTTTCTTGATGTTGAGCTTCAATCCATATGGAAGGTGGCAGTTCCTGACCTTCTGCAGCTAATGCCTCAGGTCCTCAGTTTGGGCAAGCAAGGTTGCATTATCTCCCTCCAGTTCTAATGCCACATTTCTTCTCATCAAGCCCAGCCTCCTGAATGATCTGTTCCACATAGAGACTGAAAAGATACAGAGATAAGATGCATCTCTGGCGCACACCTTTCCTAATTCTTGAACCATGCAGTGTTTCCTTGCTTTCTTCTGATGACTGCCTCCTGGTCCAAGTACAGGTTTTGCATAAGCACAATCCAGTGTTCTGGATTTCCCATTCTTCTCAGAGTCAGCCGCAGTTTGTTGTGATTCACACAGTCAAATGCCTTTGCAGAGTCAATGAAACACAGATAGATATTTCTCTGGTACTCTCTACTTTCAGCCAAGATCCAGCTAACATGAGGATGAACATTTGCGTATTAGTAGCACGTTAAAGACAAGGCCCCAGGGACAGGAGCACCTGCCCTCTAACTGTGGACATGTGGGGCAGGTCAGGCAGTGCTAGCCCTGGCTCCTTCTCCCACAACGCCCTGTGCCTTGGTCCAGGATGGGCTTTCTATTTCCAGTCACTCTCAAAAGCTGCCTCCATTCTCTACAGCCCACGGTCAGGGTTAACTTGGAGGGACCGACAGGCACCCGTCTCCACAGGCCCCTAGATGCTGTTCGTGGCCTGGTCACTAGCACGCAGGGCACCATGCGTGGGGACCAGGGTCTCGGGATACACTGTTTGCATGCTGCACACAGAGGGCGAGAGGCCCACCTTTGGAGGTGGGTTCCATCCGAGGCTGCGGTACCTAGTGCAGGTGCTGCCCTTGTTCTGACGGCAGAGGGAGCACCCAGAGAGCACCCTCCAGAGTGAGTCCTCATATGGCCTCACCCCGCCCACCGTGAGCACTGGGTGCAGTCTGTACCACCAAAGAGGAGCTAGCCAGAGTGAAAGTCAGCCGGGGTCAGAGGCAGACCATGGCCTTCACAAGGACATGCTGTGCGTCAGAGAGCTGGACAATGACTAGAACTGACAAGAAGGACTGATGCCTTTGAGCTGTGGTGCTGGAGAAGAGTACTGAATATACCATGGTCTGTTAGGAGAACAAACATCCAGGCTGCTCCTTGAAGGCAAGGAGTCTAAAGCTCCACCTGCCATACTTTGGGCATGTTGCCAGAAGGGGGTCAGTCCCTGGAGAGGGACATCATGCTTGGGAGAGAGGAGGGACAGCGCAGGAAAGGAAGCCCTACGATGAGATGGATTGACTCAGTGACTGGGAAAATAGGGTAGCTGTGCCAGAGACAATAGGGTTGGCTCAAGATAGAGCAGGGTTCAGAGCTATTGTCCACAGGGTCACTATGAGTCACAAGCAACTCTAGAGCACATTACAACAACAGGCATAGACCCACAGGTGACCTAATACCATAGAATGTTCCAGAAGGCCCTGTGTGACCTTGGCTTCACATCTTCATCCCCATTCCAAGGCACACGCTGAAGCATCAACATGTGAATTAAAGCAGAGTTTGCCCTTAGGAAGACCACATTCGCTGAGGAGGGCTCAAGGCCAGCATCTTCCTGAAGTGAGGCAGGGGTGGGGAATAAAAGCACTAGCCTCCAATGACCGCCAGAAACCCATGGGAGCAGGGCCATAAGGTGGCATCTCTGGCAATGAGGACAGGGTCAGCAGTGGTTCAGTGGCCCCTGGGTTATCCACCCAGCACAGTGACTTCGAGGTGGGGGCAGGTAGTGGGGCGTCTGGCGTGGAGGCCTTGGCCAGGCTGTAAGAACCTGTGTTCTTACCCTGCACATTGGAGGTAGGCACCCACCTTGCCGAGTGCAGCTGAGGAAACAAGACCTGACCCCCATCCTGCCTTCAGCCCTGAAGCATGTGGATCTGGACCCCACCTCAGTGCCTCAGCTGAGTCTGCCATGCAGATGTGCCCCGTAGGCTCTGCACAGGGGCCTCGGCCCTGTTCCTACAAGCCTGGTGAGGCCACAGGGCCATGGCATCCTGATTTACATTCATTTAAACTGACTGCAATGGAACACTCTGTTCCTGGGAGTCCCTGGCCGTGTGTTAAGTGCTCAGAGGCCACGAGGGGCTGCTGGCCATGGCGCAGACACAGAACATTCTAGTCACTTCCTACATCCATCACCCGTGTCCCCAGGTCACAGCACCAGTGCAACTCCCCACATTTGATGGCATAAGGACATTAACTCAAGGCAAATGCTTTTTGCACTGAGACACTGTTCTTGGGGCCCAAATGGCCCCCAGCAAGTTAGCTGTCTTAAGAAACATTGCTGGCTTTGCTGACATATCATCTTCATTGTTTTGATCTGCATCTCACAATCCACCACCCCTCCCTCAGGAGAAGGCTGGACAGTCTCCCCCTGGGCGATCTACAGCCTCCTGAGAGTCTGCTGGCGGGTCGCCTCTGAGTGGGTTCCAAGCTGATAGCAAGGACTGAGTTAGTGAGTGAACAGCTAACTAGCGACTTCTAAAGGCAGAGTGTGCAGGGGGCTATTGAAAGGCCTGGGGCCAGTCGGCTGAGTCGGTGAGCGTCTCGCGGTGTGCTTGTGGGCCGCCTCGGTGTCTTCTCTGGGGACGTGCCGATTCACGTCTTGCAGCCTTTCTCTAACTGAGCTGCTCCTGTTTTCCTTGGTGTGGTGCTTCTGAGGAGACCCCACTTCTGGCTCTGAGACCTTATTTTCCGTCACTTTTCTCCAGGTTAAAGTTTGGAGGCGGGGCAGGGCGGGGAGACGGGCAGATGAGGGATCCCGTCGTCGTCTTTACCACTTCCAGATGTGGGCCCAGCAGAGAGCCCAGAGAGGACGGGCCACCAGCACCAGTGACGACCCCCAGCCGGCCACGTGTGCTGGGGAAACCTGGTGGCAGAATGTGGGCAGGAAAAGCACTTTCTGATCACAGCGTTTGGGAAGGAGCCCCAGAGGCAGAGTGTGCAGCAAGCTGAGGTGCTAACCACAGGGTTGTTAGTTCTAATCCACCGGCATCGGTGGGAGAAGGATGAGCAGTCTCTTCTGTTAAGATCTGCAGGTCGGTCCTGTGCCAACCCCAACCTTGGCTTCCAGAGACAGCTCCAGGAATTCGAGAAGCATGAACTTCACCAGTATCGGCAGTGGCTGAAAGAGGAGTTTGGAGAGAGCCCTCTGCAGGATGCTGAAGAAGCCAAAACCATCCTGGCCACTCCTGGAATTCTGAAATATTTGGACTTCCTCAGACGAGTGTAATGTGCCTGCTGAAGTTGCTGAGATATTGAAAAACCACCATCTAGGCTCAGTTGGCCAAAGAGCCAAGAGATCGTCTTAAGTCCTCA